AAGGTGGTGCAAAGTGCCCTTTCTCTTCCCAGTGGCCTTCCTGAGTGGTGCTGGGCTGTCCTTGGGATTGCAGAGGGTTAAAGAGCCCTCTGGGGCCAGGGGCCAAGTGGTGGGGAGCTCTGCAACTGCTCAGGATTAAAGTTCAGAGAGCTGCAGCCTGCACTCTGCAGCCCGTGGCTGCTCTCACAGGGCACCAAAGCAGAGCTGGGCTTCCTTTCCACCCGTGGGAAGCGAGGCTTTACCTGCAGCCCGGAGGTGACAGCCCAGAAAGCGGCAGGGCAGGGGCAGAGGCGTCAGCAGAGCTCTTGCTCTGCTCCTCTCCAGCTTCCCCTCGGGGGAGCTGTTTGGATTTCAGGTGTCCCGTTTCTCCTTGTGCATCCGCAGCAAAGGACACCCCTCCCTGCCCGGGGTTCCTGGCAGGATGAAGGGGCAAGCACAGCTTTTCTGGGCTGGTGGCAGCACTCAGAGCTGCGGGGACATCGCCTGGCTGGAGGGGGCTGGGGTGAAGAACGCGGCCCAGGGACCAGCTGAAGTGTTTGTGCTGCTCTCTGTAAATAGAGCAGATGTGCCCAGATCTCAGCTCTTCCCCCCTGTGCCGCCTGCAGGGGCTGGTGCTGAGCAGCAAACAGTGGGAGCCAGGCCAGTGTCAATAAGGGTTTGGATGGGTTTGTTTGCTTGGCTGCAAAGGCCTTGGGATCCTGGGAGAGGTACAGGGTGACCCCACCTGCCCAGCACACAACCAGATCTCTCCCTGACCGGCTCCTGGGTGAGACAGGCTTTGCAGAGGCTCCAAACCATGAGGTTGTTTCAGTCTTGAGACTCACAATTAAAAGCAAACAAGTAAGTAGCTTCCTGGTTTGGGCAATTTACGGCTGGTGATGTTTCCAAGCTTTTTTTTTTTTCTCCTTTTTTTTGTCCTTTACAACCAAAACACGAGGAAATGGATATTTTTGAAAAGAAAAATAATTAAAAAAAAAAAAAAACCAAAACCAACACCACCACCACTTGCCTGAATCCATGACTGCAACTGCTCCAAAACTAAATATTGTGAAACTCAGGGGAGATAAAAATTCTGCGAAGCTGATAGAGTGCTGATCCGGTGTCCTCCCTGAAGCCTTTCCAAGGGAAAAGCAGCTGCCTGCACCGTTAGCTGGGGATGAGGACACTGAGGAAGGACAGAGAGGAGCTCTGGGATGTTGCATCATCCTGTGCCAAGGAATTCCTACTGCCACGGAAAATGCAATTCCTGTCATTTACCCTGGCCCAGATTCCCCCTCCTCAGTGGTGCTGACTGTGGCAGTTTTTGCCTGGGCAAGGGCTGACTTTGCAGCTCCTTTTCCCATCCCTTGATTTCCCCCCATGATGTGTTGGAGGCTCCCTGGAGCACCAGGCCCTGCTGCTCTGGGCACCCACCACCTCCCAGGCCTCGTGAGGGAGTCAAAATGCCCTTTTCTGGCACCCCCTCACTCTGAAAGTCGTAGCCTGGTGGCTTCTCCTGAAGTGCTCGAGACAAAAATACATTTCCTGTTTAGAGAGAGAGCGAAGATCAGCCCTGAAGTGCGGCCGCCTGCTCTGGTACCTCAAGTATAAACAGCCTGTGCTGCCTGTGCTTGTTCCAGTGGCTTTTTCTCTCTAAAGGTCCATTAAACACAATTACACAGAGTCCATCTCCTGGCAGCATCACTCCTGACAGGCACAAGAGTTTCAGAACTGCCAGCTTGTCAGGGAAGATCCCTCTAAAAGCCCCAGTGCGAATTCCCGCCTTTGTTCTCCAGGCAGCAGCACCAAACACCAGCAAAGTGTGTTTCTGCTTTGCATTTCTCTAACACTTTTCCACCTGGGTGTCTGGGTTCTCTGTAAATATCACTCAGCCTCCCTGGGTGGGGTGCTGAGGTCGGGTTTGTGCTCTCAGCTCGCAGAAAGGTTTGGGCTGTGAGTCAGCAGCCGCTCTGCAATCAAGGTCAGGACTTGCATTTTCTGCAATTAAGCACAAAATGGGCTTAAAGCCACCCTTAGGCCAACCTGGGGCTCCCAGAGTCAACCAGAGCACCCGTGAAATTCATCTCTGGAGGGGACCAGGGCCGTGCATTCTCTCTGTGGGGCTGCAGCAGAGGAATCTGAGCCGTCACAGCTCATCCTGTGCCCAGGTAAAGCTGAGAGGCCTCCTGCTCTCCTGCTCCTTGTGTTCTCTGCCACATGTGGTGCTTCCTAACCCCTGTCAATATTCTGGTCGATACCATGAGCTCTGCCTGGCTGGGCATGTGAGATTTAGATAAGACCAGGGCAAATCTGTGCCATGATCTAATCAGGCACGAGCAGCCTGCATGGCAGTTGACTCTCTGCTTCCCCTGTTTGATAAATAATTCTGGTTTGCAGATTCCCATGATGGCTCAATCCTGAGTTGCTCTGAGGCTTCTGGTCCTGCTTCAGAATAAGTTATTAGGCCCATTTATAAGCCCAGGGCTGGATTTAGTGAAACCAGAGTATAACCAAGGTCAGGCTGTTATTGCTGTGTTTAGGTACCCAAGTACATGGTCTAAGTTTTCAGAGCTGCTGATCCCACTGAGGTCCTTGCCAAAATGCTCCTGGGAACTCTGTGTGGGATCTCCAGTGGCTGGAAATGCCAAGTGCTCGGTGCTCTGGGCTGGGGGACAGGGTGGGGATGGGGCACAGCTTGGACTCGATGGTCTTGGGGGGTCTCTTCCAACCTCAATGATTTTGTGATTCTGAGCAAACCCTCTCCAGCTCCAAGAGGTTTTGGTCTTCTGTACCAGCATGAAACACTAAATGTTAATTCATCTCATGACTGTTGAGAGAAACAAAGCTTTCTGTGCCCTGCCCCAGCCCCTGTGGTTGGTGCAGACACCCCAGTGCCAGCGTCCCAGTGGGACCAGCAGAGCCTCCTCTCAGGGACATCCAGCAGTGTCCAGCACCACAGCCTGCAATTTCTGCTTTCAAACTGGCTGCCTGGGCCTGAACCAAGATCACACAGTGAGTCAGAGCCAGGAATAGAAGGGAGGAAACTGCAGTTCATGCTGCTCGTCTGACCACTGAGCCCAGCAGTGCCCAGCTCCTCCTGCTCCATGTGGGAATCCACCTAGGGACAGTCATCTGCTCCAGTGCCAGAGAGGGAAGGAAAGAGAGAGAGAAAAAACCCAACAACAAGCACTAATAGCTATGAAATTGCTTGTGAACTCCTCTGACTAGAAAACAGGGGCAGTTCTCCCCACCCAGATTTGGATTCTGGCACTTCCCCAGCTGAAGTCACAGCCCAGCTCTCTCCAGTGCTTTTTGTTGGGTTTGGATTTTTTTGTTACTGAGTTCCTGCATCTGGAGTGCCAAAAAAGCTCTTTTTTTTTTTTTTTTCCCTTTTTTTCAGGAAACAGCAGTGTCATTTCTCCTCGTCAGCCACCCCAGCGAGGGAGTTCTCATCAGCTCAAGTGGCAACAAATGCAGGTGCTCCTCTGCTTTTTCTGTGGAGGGTGAGTCCTTCCAGCAAAACTTTGGGAGGGAGCAGCTGCTCCCAGTAAAAACACCGCTATCCTGCTGACCCAAGCTGAAATGTGACGTGGAAATGGGATTTTTGACCTTGAGAGGTACAAAGCTGCTCAAAGGAGGGACCCTGTGAAGATTAAAAATAACTAATCTTTTGTAATGCTTCTGTAGCTAATACAGCTGGATGAATTCACTGCAAAACCAAGGGCCAAATCTTTAAATAGTACAAACCAGCCCAAGTCTTTTGGTGACTTTTGAAGTCTTCAGCTGAAGAACTGGCCCAAGCATTTGCAAACATTAATTTAGGAACAGCTGGTTTTGTCAACTGCATTCTTGCCTCATTTTTCCTATCCTTTGCTCATTTTGTTCACACACATTAAAAAAAAAAAAAAAAGATACTTGTTGCTGCAGATGTTTAGGAAAGGCTGTTCTGTCTGAGGGTTCTCATCTCGAGGGCTGGCTGGATGAATAGAACATTGATTTTTCCTCAGCTCAGGGTCCCGTTCAGCTACTGTTAGACAAGCTAGATGCTGATATGATGTCGAGATCTCTCTGTGTAAGTGTGTGTATAGAAATGTATATATTTTGTGTCTCTCCTCGCAGCCGTGTGAGTTAAGCAGCCACCTCCCATGAATAATGTCCAGGGCCAGGTCACAAGCTTCCCAGAGCAGGGGACCGGTTTGCACACAACCCAGGCAATGACGAGGAACGAACAGTACTTACTAAACCCAAACAAAACCGAAAAAAACCCCCACTCCTACTGCGGGCCACGCTGGAGAGGGAGGGAGGGAGGGATGGGGAAAAAGAGAAAAGGTTAAGAAAAAACTCTGCTTGTTTGTTTGTTTGTTTTAAAACAGTGAAACCACTTTTTCTTCGGGTTGAATGGCCGGGCAGGACGGAGCGGGCGATGGGGACGAGGGCAGCGGTGTGCGGGGCTGCGGGGAGCGGCGGTTTGGAGGTGTGCGGGGCTGTTCTCCCGGTGAAGGGTGCGGGTAGCCGGGATGCTCTGTGTTCTCCCGGTGAGGGCTGCGGGCAGCTGGGATGCTCTGTGTTCTCCCGGTGAAGGGTGCGGGCAGCGGGGATGCTCTGTGTTCTCCCGGTGAGGGGTGCGGGCAGCTGGGATGCTCTGCCGGCGCCGAGATCCAGGAGCGGGGCTGCCGTGCCGGGCTCGGGTTCGGCTGCGGGGACCGGGGGATGCTCTCCCCGCAACGGGAAACAGCGTGCGGGGAGCGGGGCTGCTCTCCCGGGAAAGGCTCCGGGGGATGGGGATGCTCTCCCGGCGGAGAACACTGGGGGAATCGGGGCTGTTCTCCCGGGGAAAGGCTTCGGGGGACGGGGATGCTCTCCCGGCGCGGGGTTGCTCGGGCTGCGGGGCTTTGGGAGCGGGGTTGCGGTGCCTTTGCGGGGGTGGCCGAGCCCCCCCCGGCCCCACTCGTCCCGGGCAGCGCATGCTCCCTGCCGGGCCCAACCTGCCCATTTAAACCGCGGCGGAGGCGCGGGCTGAGCCGGGCTTGGCTCCGCTCGGCGCAGAGGTAGGACCGGGGCTAACACCGGGATGGGGCGGGGATGGTCGCGCCGGGCAGCGGGAGCGGCTCCTGGGGGAGCTGCCGGAGCTCCTGGGGGTCCCCGCGTGGCTCGGGGGGGGTCCCGGGGAGCTGCCGGGGCTCTCGGAGGGCTCGGGGGGTCCGCTCGGACCCCGCGTGGGTCCCGCTGATGCTCCCGCGGTCCCGCTGCGGATCCGCGGAGGAAGGAGGAGAAACAAAAAGCCCTGGCGGGTGGGAGGCAGAGCAGCAGCGGCCGCAGGTGGGGCTGTGGGTGGGTGGGCAGGGGGTCCCGTTCCCCCCCCGAGCCCGCTTGCAGCGTCGTGTGCCGCGAGTTTTTTTTTTCCACGCTTCTCGTTCTGGCAGAGACATCCGCTGCGAGCGGGGCGGGCTTGGAGGATCGCTGAGCGGGCGGAGGAGCCTGGGGAAGCGGGATGTGACCGTGGGCTTCCAGAAATTCCTGGAGACTCGCAGGGACAGGTCAGTGAATCCTCAGAATGCAAGGAAGGCAGCACCGGGGCAAAGGGAAGTTTTCTTTACACGTGGTTGTAGGTTCTGTTTGGGTTTGCTGCCAGGTTACTCGTCTCTCCCTGTCGGCTCTAGTGGGAGCTTGAGCCGGCTGATGCTTTAACAGCGGTACCTCAGTGTCATAATGTGGACATTCCAGAGATTACTGACTTTGGTGTGATATTCCAGGGTTTACTGACTTTGGCACGACGCGAGATTTTGGCGGTGAAATTCCTTAGCTGTTTGTGATAAACATAAGCTAACAGACTAATTTGTCTTCCTGTGGATGGCAGCTTTAGGGGGAAGAGAAAGGCATTAGAATAAACTTAATATTTATGCTGGTGATGGCCAGACTTGGCGAGGTGCTCGGATTAAAACAGAAAACAATGAACATGGGAAGGGAAATGTATCAGGAACAGCTTTGCTGGTCCTCCCCTAGACCTGTCAGAGCTCATGAGCAGCACAGGGAAAGGGGCCAGGCTCCAACCGTGTCCCACCCTGGCGCTGTTCTGGTTCTAGCAGTGGTTCAGGCGAGCAGTGTTTGTACGTGCAACATGAGAATAACTCAAAATTTATAGAAATAGAACATGAGTAAGAACTTCAAAAGTACCCAAATGACCTGGGCACTGCAGTCATGCAGGCACTCCTGAAAAACGTGTACCAGCCTTTAAACCTTTTCTATTATTTGCCCCACCTACAATTTTCTTTCTTTTCTTTCTTTTTTTTTTTTTTTTTTTTTTTTCATTTTTAAATGTGTGATGCTACCTGGATTTTCTGGCATCATCCATCTACCACACTTCTGCTCGTGGGGAGTGGCAGAGCCAGGAAAGCCAGACTGCCAGTCCTGTGCTGGGATTCCAGGCGGTGCCTAAAACTCTGGAACTTATTACCACAAAGCCATGGTGGAAGCCAAGAGCTCTTGGCTTATGTGATTTGAGGGAGGTAGGGAGGGGGAATGAATTAAAAAAAAAAAAAAAGGATTAGAAATTTGATATGGATAATGAGAATCTGCAGAATTAATAGCAAATTAAATGAGAGCTTTACGAGGGATATAAATCCCTTTCTTTCAGGGCATAAACCGATCTTGGGATTTAGGAGGAAACTTCTCCTTGTAGGGAGGTTTTGCTCACAGTGGCTGCTGGTGGGATATTCCCCTACAGCCTGTTACTGCCTGTGCACTGATATCTGAGTGTTGTGTCTTCTTAAAGAGGCTCCAATTAAAGTGCCTGACTCTCCAAGTGTTTCCCAACATCAGATTGTTGGGAAAGGCCCAAGGCACCTGGTTTTGTGTAGAGCCTGCCTAAGGATAAGAGTAACATCACCTGTGAACAAAGCAGTGGTTTCACAGGCTGTCATCCCTGTGGTAAGGTGGTAGTAGATGCCTCAACATCCTCCAGACAGACTTCAGCAGCATTTCCAAGATGTACAGTCAGATTTTGCCAGCACTGCATGGATGTATCCATGGGATAAGCTGAAATCACTGGACTGATCACTGAGCTAAAAAAAATCCAGCCCTTGGTCTCTTTATCTTTGCCAGAGTCCCTCGGAAATGATGTTTAGCATAAACTCTTGGTAACCTTTTCCCCAAACTGTTTATCTCCCTGGAGCACTCAAGTGGCAGGGTTGGGCTGGGGGGAAGGGGTGGTTTTGGTCTTTTATTCCCAGAGTTTCCTATCTCTGCTCTTCAGCTCCACATGGAGCTTAGGGTGATGGCTGGATTCTTGTGGCTGATGGCATTAGGACTGCATGCTCTTGAAAATAAAAAGAAATAACCTTAACTGCCCAATATTGGGCTAAAGCTGCAAGTAGAAGCTTTGGTAAAAGTTTGAACCAACACATCTGGTCCTGAAATCATCAAATCCATTGTATGATGAAGTGATGGGGCAAAACCTGCTCTTTGAACAGAACTCTGTGGGTCAGCTCATGTGTCTTCTGGTAAAGCCTCTTTGGAAATACCTGTGAGCAGAGTTCCTGCATCACTGAAAATTCTTAACCCAGGGCCCCTTGTGTTGGATCCACGAGAAACTCTGAAGAGTTTTGCAGATGACTCCCGAGGAATGCAGGGAAGCAAAGGAAGACAAAGGTTGATGATCTGTAAAAGCAGTGTTTATTTGTGATATTTGTAATCCACTTCGGGCTTCCATGGTTTTACATGGACAAAAAAAAAGGCCTGGAAAGTTTTGCCTGTGGTGCTTCCCTGACTCCTCCCTTTGTAAGGAGTTCTGTGGATGGGGATGTGGCAGAGAACTTCAGGGTTTGTGTGGACACTTCTGGCACTTGGTTTCACTTGAGCTGCCTGTGAGTCTGTCAGGGCTGGTCCCAGGATGGAGCAGTGCTCAGAGCCTGCTTTTAAATAACAAGAGAAAAACACAGAACAGACCTTCCAAAATAATCTGCTGATGGTCTCTTCTCTTTTTTTTTTTTTTTTTTTCCCCTCTACATGGCTTTTTCTCCTCTGGCTTTACTCTCTTCAGAATTTTACCCCACTTTTGTCAGGGTGGGATCACAGAGCCTTCCAGACAAGCTCTAAGTGGTGTGAGTAACATGTTTGTGTTTATCTTCCACCTTTCTCTACCTTGGAGCAGTTCACCCAAGGAGTGTCTTGTTGTGGTAGTTGTTTCAGGTTTTCTTTAAAGTGCCTGTTGCTGCCTCCTTGTCTTGGCTGGGGCAACATCAAAGCAGAGCTCTTGACCGTTGGGTGAAAGTTGGGGAGGTTTGGGGTGGATTCAAGGCTTGGAGGGAGCAGAGGAGAAAGGAGCTGCAGGTAATGAAAGGGGTAAAGCCTCGTGCCTTGAGCAGTGGGAGACAGGTGGGATGGAGACACAGATGCCCAGAGGAGTCCTGTCTGGTGAATCTCCTCCGTTCGCTGCTATTGCAAGTAATTCCATCAGATGATGGTGTGCTGTGGCTCCTGCAGGAGGTGGGGGCAGTCAGCCTAGGACAGCTATTCCTAACTAAACCCAACCTAGACAGCCAACCTGGGAAGTCTTGTGATCCCTCAGCCGTGCAGCTGAACCCGTGATGGAGGCTGAGAGTGGAGCAAGAGAGTCATGAGAGGCTTGTGAGCAGCCCGTCAGCAATTCTCAGTGTTGGCCTGAGTTCTGAATGCTTGGTATCAGAGCCATCAAAACCATCCATGTGAGAACAGGAACCCTCAGGCTCGGCTGAGGAAGGGGTTGGAGACCCTCATCCTTGCTTTTAATAAGCAGGGGAGAAATTTTAAGGCTGTCTCTGCGAGGGGGTCGAGCAATGTGTGAGCTCATAGCAGACTGTCTGTAAACATGGACTGCACAACATAAAGGAAGTCTTGCACTCACCACAAACAGAGTGATAGGAAAACAGTAAACTAAAGGATTATTCATACATCTCCCTGTCCCAGTGCTTGTGTTGTTCAGTTAGAACTAAGATTGATGTTTACGCCTTGAAACCTGTTCTCTTCCTCATGCTGCTGTTGCTCCTCACTGCTGGAGGAATCTGGGCCTGATCTTGTGTTTGGGAGCTGCTGATGTGTCCAACCTGCTGAGCTGTTGAGTTGCTGGTTCAGAAAACAGAGCTGAGTGGAGCTATAAGGGCACCACTTCATTATTGTTGTTTGCATGCGTGCTGTTCCTTGGAGGTCCTCTAATTTGTGCCCTTCCTCCTTGTTTTCATATCCTAAAATGTCAGTTCCTCTTGCAGTCCAAAAATATTTGCTTAACATTTCGCCAGCCTGCAGAAGAGGAGAAACAGACCCCCGTGAATATTGCCTGGCAAAATAAGGACTGTGATGTAGGAATGTGGTTCAAATGGCTCCTTTGTCTCGGGGCTGGAGGCACTGGAACACACACAGCAAGGAGCAGGTGCTTGATTTGCAGCTCTGAACCGTTTTTCTTCCTCCTTGTTGCTGTACACGAGCTAAAAGAGAGTGCTGTTAGCCCAGATCCCAAGGACCTGGCCCTGCCTCACAGCCAGGGAAACCTTGCTTGAGTAACACATGAAATCAGCCCCGATTTCAGAGCCAGCTTCTGGTGACTTGCAGATGGATTCTCATTAATTGCCGGGTTTGGAACACTCAGAAGGCGTAAGGATGGCCTCTGGCAAAATAATGAGGTTTATTTGAAAATAGAAACTTAAAACAATGCTGGGCGCTGGGCTTGGTTTGTGAGGTGTAAAGTTTTTCCCCTTCAATCAAGGGAACAAGTTTGGGGTTTTTTTTTCCACCTTCATTTGAGTGGGAGCTGAAGTTCTCTGGGGTGGTTTGTCCCCAGGAGCTGGGACTTCAAGAAAAATGCAAATCTAATGAGTGCAGTGACTCAAATCCGTGCAGGTTGTCAGCACTCAAAAGACATTAATGTTCTTGCAGAGCAGGCTGGAGCCAACTTCGGGAATAATGTGCACATAGTTGTGGATAACATCGAAATCTGGCCTTGGATTTTATGGGTTGAGACTTTGGGTGAAGTGGTGCGTGCAATGAAATCCGTGGATCACGCTTTCATCACCAGGTGGAGGAGTGAATCCTGCTGGGATCTGACTTGGGGCGTCAAAGAAACTGAGCTGGTGATCAAACCTCAACTGTGGTGCTATTTTGCCATCTTCTCCCAGCTGCCTGCTCCTAATTCAGGAGTAATGGGCAGAGCTGGCTCTTTGGTTGGACTGGAAGTGGCTGTGGGTGTCCCCTCTCTGTTCTCTGTCCTCTGCACAGACACCAAACCCCTCCACCTTAACTGGACCCTGTGAGCGAGGTCCCTGATGGTGATTTTGGTACCTTTTCCATCAGCAGTGCTCTGTCTGGGGATGTTGGGCTGGAGAACCATCTGCTCCAGGGTGTGTTTTGCTGCTCTCTTTCCCCCCTGCCCAGGGCTGTGGTGCCACATCACGTTGGAGAGGGGGTACCCAAAGTGTTGTGGTCACTGAGTGTGCTGCCAGCGCTCTCCCTGTTCCCCCTGTGCTACCTTGCCCTGGGTTCTGGAGGTAAACTCATAAATTCTCCCTTC